TAGGCAATGAATTTCTAAAAATGTATTCATTTCTTCTAAGTTTTCAAACAAGTTGGAGTATGGTTCTTCATGTTGTTGTTTGTTAGGTGCCAGCGAGTTGAGTATGACTCATAGTGGGCTTATGAACAACAGGTCTGGCTCCTTTTCTGTGCCATCCTCATCATCTCTGATATACTTGAGTCCACTGCTATAGTCAATCCACCTTGTTGGGGGGTGGGGGTCTTTCTCTCTTTCACTAACTCTCTACCTTTCCACTGTGACATCTCTTTCCAATCAGTAACCTCTCCTAAAGACATGTCCAAAGTATTAGAGACGAAGCTTTGATAGCCTTGCTCCCAAGAAGCCCTCTGGTTGCACTTTTGTGAAGTCATATCTGTTTTTTTGGCAGCCCATGAGATATTTAGTATTATTCTCCAACACCACAACTCAAAGAGGCATCATCAATTCTTCTGTCATCCTTATTCACTGTCCAGCCCTCAGGAACATAGCAAGTAATTCTTCATAGTATTCTGTTCTGTTATTACTTTTATTTCAACTGGTTCTATCGTGATGTCACCCATTTCATTCTTCTTTTTCCCCCATTTAAGTCTTATATGTGCTTTGCATAATTTTTTTCTTTTTCTTTGTTAGCTCTACCAGAGATATGCTAATTTTATTTATCGTTTTAAAGAACTAACTTCTAGTCTTGTTGATTTTATTGTTTTAGTGTTTCATTTATTTCTGCTCTAATCTTTTATCTTCTTGTTCTCTTTTCTGGAGACTGTAGCCTTTGCTTGCTGCTCTTTCTCTGTTGGAAAAGCTGGATTAAGGTATAGATATTGATGTCTTTCTTTTTTTAAAATGTGTACATTTATAGCTATAAATTGATCTTTTAGTACTGTTTTTGCTGTGTCTCAAAGACTTTGGTATGCTGTGTTTTCCTTCTCATTTTTTGCAAGAATTAAAAAAAAAAATCTCCTATTTTCCAGTAGTGTTCAAGAAAGGTGTTATTTAGCTTCTAAGTACTTGATTTTTCTCTCCTTGATCTTTCTATTATTAATTTCTAATTTATAGTACTGTGATCCAAGGAGACAACTTTTAGTATTTGGATGTGCTTTTTAATTTATTGAGGCTTGCTTGTATCTTCATGTATGATCTATTCTAGAACTTTCTATACGCATTTGAAAAAAAACGTATATTGGACTCTTGCTGGGTAGAGTGTCCTAGATAAGTCACCGACACCCAGCTGGTGTGCTTGTTGAGTTTGTGTCAAGCTTTTTTGACCTTCATCGAAGGTAGGAATTATCCTATTATTATGCTGATGATTTCTTTATTCATATCTATTAAAGTTCAATTTATATATCTTATAGCTCTGTAATTGAAATGCATTGATATTATAGTTATGTTTTCATGTTCAATTAGACCTTTACTCATTCTAGAATATATTCTGGGACAAAGGGAGTTGTGCTCCTAACTCAAAGGCAGCATTTGTGTGATGATTTAAATCTACTGGTTCCACAACAGAAATAACAAGATTTATTATTTTTCTTTGCAGTTTTCTGTAAGTTAACATTTTATTCCCAAGTCTAAAACAATTCAGTTTATCATGAATCCAATTGGCTTCCTCTCTCTTTAGAAATTCTGTAACTACAATACTCATACCCTCTTTTTGCTTTATAGACTGATACGTCTGGCTCCCTATTTTCAGTCTTGTATGTTTAATAAGTCTGTGTATATGTAACTGTGTTGGTTTCTGAATGATGCTTTCATGTATGTTAACTTTGGGTTGTTATTATCAGTCATTACTGATTCTATGTCTGAAGAATTCCCTTTGGTATTTCTTGAAAGGTTGTCCTAGTTTTCACAAGGACAACCTTAATTTCTGCAATCTAAAAATGTCCTAATTTCATCTTCACATTTTGATAATTTTGATAAATGATAATTTTGCAGGGCAAATACTTTTTAGTTGGTAATTGTATTCTTTTAAAGCTTTAGATATGTTACCCATTGTCTTCTTGTCTATGTGGATTCTGCTAAGATCAGATAGTATTATTGGTTCTATTTGATGAGAAATTCTTTGTTTTTCCTGGACTATTTTCAGTATTTTTTCCTTGTCTTTAATTTTGGAAAATATGATTATGATATATGCTGGTGTTTTCCTTTTGGGGTCTGTCTTCTTTACGTTTAGCTCGGTCTTGAATTTTTATTTCCTCATTTTTAACAATATTTGAGAAGTTTTCTTCCAACAAATCTTCAATGATTTCCTTCCCTTTGTCTCTTCCTGTTCTGGCATTCCAATCTTATCAAAACTATTCCTCTTCATTTTATTCACATATAATTATTCATCTTCCTTCCTCCTTCCTTCTTCCATCTCTCTCTATTTATTTATTTATTTTGATTGTTCCTCAAATACAATAGTATTGAAGGATTTGTCCTCCATCTCACTAATGTTATATTCCAGTGTTTTAATTCTGTCTTTTGTCCTTCCAATGTGTTATCTGTTTCTCAAATTTTAGTCTTAATATTCTGCATATCAATTTGCTGCATTTATATTGCTTCTAATGTTCTACTTAATTTTGTCTTGTCTTTTAAAAATATTCTTTTATATTTTCCTCAATATGTTGAAAGAATCAAACTAGCATTCCTTTTCATTCCTTATATGAGAAGTTATATTTTCTGAAAGATTTTCTGATTCTTTAGTTGGAAATATTTTGGTGTTTTTTTAAATTTTGAGTTATTTAAATTCATCTGTTGCCTTCAAGACAATGCAGTATTTCATTATTTTGCTTTCATATAGCTGACTAAATCATGCATGTGTGCTAAGCAGCTTCCTAGTTGGTAGTTCCTAGAGCTTTACCTCCTGTTTTCTAGTGACAGAGGATAGAGGTATGTACGCAGTTTTCTAGTCACATGTAAGAGGTGAGAGTAGATTGGTTGGGATAGGTGGTAGTTTTTCATGTGTTACATGGAACAGGAGCTGGTATTTACTCCTGTCCCTTGGATGAAGCTTCATGAGGTGTATGTGAGACTAGTTGCTCTGTTTTCAGACAGAACAATAAGAAAGAAACAAAACAGCAAAACCCAAAAACAATATTGGATGATAAAAAAACTCCAGGCTCTCTGCTCCTCGTCGATCCAGATTTTGCCCTCTCTTCTTGTGCAGCCTCAGCCGCATCCCTGAGACACGATGGTGAAGGTCGGAGTAAATGGATTTGGCCGTACTGGGCACCTAGTCACCAGGACTGCTTTTCACTCTAGCAAAGTGGATATTGTCACCATCAATGATCCCTTCATTGACCTCAACTGCTCCTGGTGATCTTCATGTTATTTTGTATTTTTTAATTTTATTATCATTATTTTATACTGGTTTACTTATAAAGATAATAAAGTTCATCTACATTGTTCTTCATATTGTTTGGCATCTCTTTTTCCTCATCTCTTCTTTGCCCCCCCATGCTTATTTCTTTTATATTTCAAAAGAAATTTACTCAAGACATACCTTACATTAATTCTACATCATTAATAAACAAAATCTAACCATTCACATATGTAATTGTAATTATAAATATGGAGGTCAGAAATTATATATTTAGGGAAACACATTATAATCCATAACAATCAGGTACAGAGTACACAAACACATCTACTGAATAAATGAAGGACTTGGAACCAGAGAGTTCTAGGGTCTGATACTCATTTGAGTACGTGAAATTATATAAGTAACTAAAATGGTGTAAGCTTCAGTTCTCTCACACAGAGAAAGTAAAGTCTGATTTGCAGATTCTTTATGAACAGTTAACACTTTGTGTAAAAGATTCAGCACCTATTTGATGTTAAAGTTATTAAAATAAAGAACTAGCTGGTTTGTTGAGCTTTCTCATTGACAAGTAAGTGTTGGCCTCCAAATTTCAATAACGTTAAGATTTCAAAATTCCAATACCTAGGATACTAACCATAGCTGCAGGAAACTTGTAAATCAGCAATTATCCGGAGAATATTGTTCATCTGATTGGATCTTTGTTCATTTTCCATGATGCTGCCTGAGGCAGGATATGCAGAATCAATGTAGATTAAATCCAGAAGATAGATCCCTGAAATGAAAGAAGATATTGAATAATGGTTAGAGATCACCACTTTTCAGAACAAAATAGCAAAATGAGACACAATGCTAAAAGGTTTAAGGGATGATTACAGAAAACTCAGGTATGACTTAGACTTAAGTTTTAATCCTATTTATTAATTTTTCACATAGATGGCTCAAATGCAAATCAAACATATGACTAACAAACGAAATGTCAGAAATATTTTAGCACTCTTCATATACTCTCCACCAAGAAGATTTTCACCTGTAACCCTGCAAGGAAAATGACAGGCTATAAAAGAAACGAATACATGAGTTTTTCACCAACTGATAATTGTAAGTCTAAGTGTCACATCCATGGGATGACTCATTTGTTCAGAATTCATTCACATCTACCCATGCAGTGATCTACCTATCTATTTGTCTAATCTACCTGTGTAAACATATACACATACATCTCAACCAAAAATCATAAATTAACTGAGAAACAAAAGAAACCAATAGAGAAAAATTAAGCTTTAGCATATTTTTACATTTTCTAGCAATCAGAAGCAAAAAAGAAATTTGGTTACTGATTAAGTCATTATGTTTGCAATTATGCTTGAAATTTAAAAACATCAATTTATTTAAGAGAGAGAAAGAGAGAGAGAGAGAACATAGTTTAAGAACTAATTCTAGAAACGAGAGTCCTCAATAAGAAATAGGTTCACAGGGGTTATCAAAGGCATTGGAATTCGAAAGTGGATGGCCAATCCTTTCTAGTCTTTTTTAATTTTGAAGCTCAACTTCAGTACAATATTTGACAGACAACCATTTTACCCTAAAGAGTAGATGACACTTAACAATCATTGTATCCAAAGAACTGGTTGACATTCAGTTCTTTTAAGAGGTAGCATGTGAGCAAGAATGTACTGAGGGAAGCATTCCAATCTGCACTGAAGACACTGGCAGAAAACAAACCCAAACTCCCTCTTTATGTCTGGATTCCAGTTCCTGGTGACACAAGACAGAACAGTGCTCCACAGGGTTTCCAAGGCCACACAGCTGGGGAAGGACAAGTAGGAGTCAAACTCGAGCCCAAAGGACAAGTAGGAGTCTAACTCGAGCCCGTCTCTTCCAGAGAACACACTTCATGCCATCACAGTGCATGCACCACTGGAGCTGGTTACAATGAGTCATTCATCTACTTTTTAAATAGCTGCACATTGTTATAGGAAACTATTAAATCACAGAAACATATGCTAGCACTTCTCATAGGAACCATTGCCCTTTCCTTTCTTTCTGGTAGTGCCATGTTTCCAAAAGTTGAATAATTATAAATAATTTCTTTCGGATATATCCTCGTTTGGGTAGGCGTAAGCCCAGAGATTTATTTTTTCCTTTGCCTTGTTTTCTCTCTTATGAACGTAACTCAGTGGCCTCCCCAAGGGAATCAGCAATGGCTATCCTAAAAATGTCATTGCCACTTCAACCGCAACAAAAAGTATCCTCCAGTGCCGAGCATGAGGTGAGAGGATACAAGACACAGGGCAGTTTTTATTCTAGATTCCAACTTGGAATGGCAGAGCGAACGATGAGCCTGGAAAGCCAAGAACTGAAGACACAAGAGAAGTGTAACAGGCATGATCCTTCTTACTCTTAATGTCTTATGTAATCCTTTCATCAACCTTGTGAAGTATGAAGAGAAAACCAAAGCTCAGAAAGGTTAGGACAGCCAGTCAAGGCCTCACAGCAAGCGAGTATTGGTGGGGCTGGGATAGGGAGCCAGGTCGATCTGGCTGAATGCCGATGTTTCCACCCGTAGTCATCAGAGACAAAACAGGGAATCGCCCTTTCTCAAATAAAAACCTCAAATGGAAAGTTCACCCTGTGGGGCCCTGTGAGGATGGGCACCAGCCTCTCTGCTTCCCCTCAGGTTTCCAGAGGAGGATTCTTAAGTAGGGAGTACTCAACAGAGTCCTGGAGAAGCTTGCTTTAGAAGGAGCAAGAACACCATTTTCACAGATTGGCCCCAAGCTCTACTCGTGTCCTGTGGGCAAAGGGAACTCACTATTTCATGTAAGAATAAATCCCACTGCCAGTCTGTTCCTCAGTCCACTGTATTAAAAACAAAAACAAACAAATCAACCAACAGACTCTTAGCTGTCTACTCTCCAGGACCTAGGAGCATGCGTCAAGGCCAAAACTTGCTAAGTATTAAGAGGCCCAAGGAGGCCTCCTGGTACCAGTGACTTGGGGAGACTGTGAGCCTCTACAAAAATCTCCATATACCTAACCTTTAATTTCTCACAATAAAAATGGCTCCCAAAGCAGCAAAATCTTCTCAAGTTAACACTCCACAAATCCAGGGAAATGTTTCCATTAACATACTAGCCCATAATGGAAAAGATTGAAAGGCTTAAACCATAATGAAATAAGAATTCCTCTGTCAATTTGGAGCCAACTCAGAGTTGACCCTTCCAGCAGGTTTTCTGCAGCTTTAAAATCACAGGGGAGGAAATTTCCCATCTTTGTCCTTGGGAGTCACTGGTTGATTCGAATCACCAGAGAGGCACAGCCTTTGGATCAGTAGTGCAAATCCCTATGGACTACACCAACAGAGTTCTCTGAGATAAGAAAAGCCTCCTCCATTGGCACTGTGCCAGGTATGGTGCTAAACTTCAGATATTCAGTTAACACCACAACTACCATTGTATCATTTATGCATTTAAGTCTGACTCCTCTATGCCTTTGTCCCTTGATCCAAATCACCAGCATTAAGAAAAGGGCACATGGGAGCTACTTGGCAAACATTAGCCAGAAGAAGGAATGCAAGAATAGAGATCAATTTTATTTAACCCATACAATAATCTATTAAGCACATGCTTTTTTTTACATGAAGAGTCAAGTGATGAAAATAATAGCAAGTGTTTACTTTATAAGCATTTACCATATGCCAGGCCATAAACTAAGAGCTTTCAACAGATTATAAGTAAGACAAATACTGTGTTTGAGGAGGTATTTTTGCAATTTACAAAGGAAGAAACTGAAGCTGAGAGACACTGTATCACTTGTCAGAAGTCAACTGGCTGGAAAGTCATAGAGAACATTTCAGTACAGATCTGCCCTGGGGGACATACTGTCTGTCAATCTTTTTTCTATGGCAGGCAAATTTTTTGGCACCTGGAAGCAAAGGAGGTAAGATGGAAACATGGCTGAGCCCAGGGGTTCTAGGCTATGGTCCTTCACATCTGATTTCTCTTTTGCAGGCATCACTATCACACTGGCTCATGACTATACTGCTGTCACCCATTCTCCATCGTCTCCCTCATACTTTATAGTGGATATCCATACTGGGTCCAGTCTTTAGAACCCTGCCAATTCTGTCACATGACAGGCAGCTGTGGAATAAAAGGAAGAGTATAAGGCTTGGAGCCAGGGAGACTTGAAACCCTAGTGTTGTCACTTCTCATATGGGAAGCCTTAACAAGCTTCTTACACCTCCCGGTGCCTCAGTTTCCTTGTCTGTGTAATGAGGCTAATAATTGTGGCTTCAAGGAACTTGTGGCCCAGGGCCTGGATCACTCAAGTATGGAAGAGTGAAACTGACCCTGAGCTGGCTCTGTGGTGACACACCTACTCTTGTGAACATGAGGATGCCTATGGGAGAGATGTGCCCAGCAGAGTTTGCTATAGCCAAGGATGGTACCCAGATGCTGACCACACGGTGGCCACCCACCTCAGCTGGGACAGTACTGGGAGCTTCCATCTGGAATGGGATAGCACAGCTGGGAAGTCTCAGCTCTTTTCCCTATTTATACAGAAGTTACTGCAGCAGATGACATTGCGTTGTTGGCCTTGTTAAGACTGACGGACATTAATTGGATCAGGAACTGGCTCTGGCTGCCTTGAGGCTGAACAGTGCCAAGGACTAGGGCTAGACTGGGAGGCACAGATATGTCGGAGCAAACAATAACAGTTGATGTCTGCATCAGGAAAGGCTAAATGTTGCTTGAACCATAGCATCTTCACAGCAACCCTTTGCAGGAGGTATTCTTACCACCACTTCCATCTGCTCTTTTATAGACTAGGAATAGTAGCTCAGAGAGGAAAAGTGACTTGTCTAAGATCATAGCCTGGAAATGAGAGAATTGACATTTGAATTCAGGATTGTCTGAGTATAAAGATTGGGGCAGACAGCAATGTTAGGGGTTGAGTATTGGGATCTGGGAGTTAGGAGTCATTGGCTGGCATAGGGACGAGGGTCCCAGCTAGAGCTGGGATGCAAAGGCCCCTGTGTTGGCCTGTCCCTCGGAGGGTTTTGCTGGCAGGCAGTATCTGCTTCATGGCTGTTGACTGGACCTCCTCTGAGATGGACAGCTACTTACACCATGTTTATGCTCCCTCCTTCCACACCCCACACACAGCCTGGTGATACTGATGTGGCTATAATGTGAGTGCCAACTAGACTGTGTGGTGGTCAGAAACCCATGGAGCGAGGAGGGAGCAGCCCCCAGCTCTCTGTTATGAGAACCTTCCCCAGTCATGCTGGCCCCAACATCAGGGGCATGAGGCCAAACCTTCTTCCTGATGGTGAATCCAGCCCCCCCCACCAGGGATGTCTACAAAACATCCCAGTTCCCAGGAGGGAGTGCTGGGCTGAAAAAGGGGGTCCTCTCCTGAATAGACACCTTCTCTGAAGCTGAGGGACACCCATGCTCAATGGCGCAGAGCCCACTTGAAGCTGGGCACTTGCAGACTCCCAGAGCCAAAGGCTGCGCTGGCACCCGGGCTTTTCCACAAGCCCAGAGACTCACTGGCCTCTTGTTCCTCCCTCCGCCATCCTGTCTCACTTCTATCCCGGCTCTGGTTTTGGTTTTTCGCACACAGCTATCTATTTAATAAGGAAAATTCTGCTGTGCTGAGGGGAAAAACTCCCCACAGCATAAAAATGTGCCACATTTCCAACATGCACTTTCCTTTTTCTCCCATCTCTCTAAAATTTTGAGATGAAAGACTTTTTTCCATGTT